GTTATGGTGGAATACATGAACTGCTTTTGGATCAGTTCGAATAAGCTGACTGATCAAAAGCTACGATTCAACATCAATTGTTGTTTCATAAGAGTTCTACTACCCAGATTTCACCGGCAACCAATGCTTCTTCAGTTCACAACAACTAAAATGGCGTGCTCAAATTCGCAACAAAACGGTACCCGTGGGTTCGTGAATTTAGTATTGCTGCACGAAAAGCAATAATTCAACCTAAGTCTACGAGCTGTGTCTCATCTTCAAGATGAAAAATGCAACGAAAGCGTCGAGTCTTAGGCATACAAACGACAAGCATTTCACTGTTCATACCAGACTGGCATGCCAAAAGAATCAATTATTCAACTAACTACACATAACCATCCTCGTCAAACTACGAATGTGCTCACAAATCGGTTGAATCCGATAAAAGGAATCATCACACAGCATTCTCACCACCAACGTGCAAACACAATGCAAGAATAAGGTGCAAATTGATACTAATTCAATCTGATATTTTCCATTCAAAAGCAACCTACTAAAATGTGAACAAACCTTCTGTGAAAAATCGTTTGAAATGAATGACGAGTAATTAACAGTTGAACTGGAAAAACCTAACTGATAAATGAATTTGAACAATAAAAAATTTTTGGATGAGTGCATACAATCGGAAAAAAGTTTGTTTATTGATGTCATAAATGTGCATATCTTTATATGACGTGGACGTGTAGATATGACAATACTGATATCACTATCAAATTACTTTTGAGAAGGCGCAACCTGCTTCGTTACTATGTCGTGAAGCATAATCGAGTTCATGAAAAATCCTTTGTTGGATGTGAAAAGAGAACCAGAAAATTCTAGGAGAAGAGATAAGACAGAAAATATGATGCCAAACGAAGAAATGGAAAGTTTTTGAGTAGTGAAATTTAGTGAAAACGGAATAAGAAGCATTCGTGATACACTGGTCACAACTGGTGAATAGAAATGTCGAATCGAAGAGAGGAGTAGAAGAAATAGTTGAGAATTAAACTAGCTGAGAATTTAGCAATATGGATCTCGACGAACATTATTCGAAACACTAAAAGTTTGTCTTGTGCTAAAACTTGTGTATGATACAAGGAAAATAATATGGTTGAAATGGGCTGATGAGATGGTGGATAAAGGAAATGATCAAAATGCGTTCAGTAACATTAATTTCAAGCAACATGAAAACAATAATTAATGAACATTTTATTGCTGAATTCATCCGAGAAAAGTCAAACAAAACAACATGAAGTCACGTCTCAAAATGATAATCAACCTTACTCTTTCATCATCACACTTAATAACTCATCGTCAAGAAGTCAATTATGAAATATTCTATGTTCAAATTTTCAACAAATCAACATTATAAAAATAACGAATGCATTTTCACCAACGAAAACAACCCAACAGTCATGTCTACTGAAAGCACAAGGGTCGTACATTCATTTCTCCT